GGTCCACCAGAGTCCTCATGGTGTAAACACAGAGTCCTCCTCCTCTGATCCACCAGAGTCCTCATGGTGTAAACAGAGTCCTGATCTCTGTCCTGCTGTCCACCCGTCTAGTGCAGCTTGATCCTGGACCACGATGGATCCAGGTCTCTGTGAAGATGTGTGTTCTGTCATAGTCCATTAGCGCTCCAGGAACAAACACGAAAAAAAAAAAAAAAAGACCAAACAATGTGTTGAAATTCATGGGAGCTACCACATGCACCACAACACGTACATGCATCTGTGTCAAATTGGTTATGGGATGTGTTCACAGGCTCTTATAAGTAGCTGGTTATGCATCAGTGTATTAATTTGCTCTTATGTTTGTCCTCCTTTTGTGCTGCGTCTTTGCTTTGCTCTGCTACATAACGCTAGATTAAGGAATTACAGGTAACACTCAAACAATCCCTCCATGCCTGCCATCATTCTTTTAGCGTATGAATTCATCTCCATAGTGCTGAGCTGAATTTCCTCTGCCGTAACCTTTGACCTCTTTGTGCAGTTTGACAGCCAGGAGGATGAGCGTTTGCTGCAGGCCTCAGAGAGGTTTGAGCGGGAGGCGGCAGGGGGCCACCCGGACCGACCGTGCATCACCACCGTCATCGACCTCAACGGGAAGACGGTGTTCGTCACGCGGTACATCCGACCTCTCAACCCCCCGCAGGAGTTGCTGGACGCATTCCCCGACAACTCGCAGGAAGCCGCGGTCAGTCGCTCGATATTGAAGTGAATGTAGAGATGTAGTGACTGGTTATACGTCTTTCTGGATCAGATTTACTGTCTCTTTTCCTCACACAGGCCCTGGTTGCCAGGTTTGTCTCGCTCGTCCCCTCTCTGCCGGACAGAGTCTCGTTCTCCGGGGCCTGTGACCTGTGGAGCACCTGTGATGTGAGTGAACCCTCTCAGAGCTGTTTGGAAGATTGGAAGAGGAGGGAAGAGACAATCTTACAGGGACTCGTCTTCTTGTTTTTTTTCAGCAATTCCTCACCCTCCTGGCGGGAGACGAAGAAGAACACGCCGTGCTCTTGTGCAACTACTTCCTGTCTATGGGCAAGAAAGCCTGGCTGATTATTGGCACAGCTATACCAGAGGTGTGTGTGTGTGTGTGTGTGACGATCATTATAAACAGCATGCACCGACATGGAGCGCAGATTTAAAATGTGTTGTTTTTCATGTATTGTTGTTGAGTTGTTTACTTTCATTCTCCCAATTGTTTCTAACAAATCTCAAACCAGAAAAATCTGTAATTTAACCGAGGTAACGGTATGTTTCATTTGGTCCTCTTTCGTCTGCCAGAAGCTTTCATAAACTGACTTTTTATCCAGTTTTAAGACACTTTTTTGATACACTTTAGATCTTTGTGGTTTTTAAGCAGATACAGGATTTTGGTCAGCAGACGTCTGGATCTTAAACTATCAGAGAAACAAGACGAGCTAACTTTAGCATCAGCTCGTCTCTCAGTCCTTCCAGGACGTCCTGCATCCAACAACAGTGCTGGAGAAACACTGATTGTTAACGTGGAGCTGCTTCATTCAGAGTTTTGTTTTGGAGAGGTGGAGACCTCTGTGGTAAAAACCTACTGAACCATGAACACTGAAGGATGAAGACAACAACTCCCATGATCCCACGCTGCTTCACCACGTCAACAAACTCCGTCTTTTGTTTATTGTTTTAAATTGAGACACAGATAATGAAATACTGTGCATTTAAGGAGCTGAAAAGTCATTTATATAAAACATAATGCAGAGATTTTGAGTCGTTCTGCAGCAGCACTCATACTTTTGATGTCTTTATTTTTTAGGGACCCACAGCATACGTCCTGACCCTCGAGCAGAACCGCTACCTGATCTGGAATCCCAGCAGCGGTCAGTACTACGGACAGCACGACACATTCTGCCCTCTGCAAATAGTCGGCTGCCTGGTCAACGCCGACAATGTGAGTAAAGCTACATCAACTATATGACCTCGAATCACCAGCTCATGTGGCATTTTAATTCCTCACTTTTTAAGCATCACTTCCTTTAGATTGCAGCAGATTATTTGAGTAACTTTTTATTCAGGTGTGGTTCAACGTTCAAGAATATACGTCACCGATGTCGATGAGTTTCGACACCACGAAAGCCAGTTTGTGGAAGCCGTTTTTCTCCCGATCCTTCTCTCACCCCGGCCTGTCCAGTGTACAGGTGAGTCTCCAGCATTTATATATAATCTGGATGTTTGTTCGCTGGTATGTTTTTAATTCTCACTAATTCTCTTCAGCCAGAGGAGCTGGTGTATCGGCGCACGGACAAAGCCGCTGCAGCAGAGCTTCAGGACAGGCGAGTCACCCACCGCTTTGTTGAGCTACAGTCTCACACACAGACACACAAACATTTACTGTCCCACTCTCCGTAGAATTGAGAAGATCCTGAAGGAGAAGATCATGGAGTGGCGCCCTCGTCACCCGACCCGCTGGAACCGCTACTGCACCACCACCCTGAAACAGTTCCTGCCCAAACTGGAGCAGAGCGGGGGGCGGGACGTGGCCGAGGGGCAGCGCCACGAGCTGCAAAGCATGCTGGGGGACAACAGGGCAAGTCTGGAACGAGTCACTGAATGATGTCATCAGTCTAACATTTCAATGATAGAATATTCTCCGCTCATTAATGACACATTTAATAAACTCCTCTCATAAATAACTAACAGGATATTTATTATTTGTTTTAGATTTCAGGGTTCCCCCTGCATCTGCCGTTCTCTGAGATCCAGCCCATCGTGGAGGCGGTGTACAGCACTGGAGTGCACAACGTTCACGCAGCGAATGTGGAGTTCGCCCTGGCCGTGTACGTGCACCCGTACCCTAATAACGTCCTGTCCGTGTGGGTGTACCTGGCCTCGCTCGTGCGCTCATGAGATCGCTGCACTTCACTGACTGTTTTTATATAAATGAGCTTTATTTAAAATGACTTTACACACCATTGCCACACTATTGTGTATATTTCAAAACGTCTGTAGGTTTTGAAATATATTGAGATTGTGACGTCGATATTAAATAACCCAGAATATGATTATTGTTTCTCTTAAATGATAAAACTCATCAAACCCGACAATCAGGAATGAACAGCCTCACATGACTGAATGAAATGATGATAAATGATGTAAAAAGTGTTTCGTCTCTCAGCTATCTCTCTCTCTCTCTCTCTATCTATCTATCCATCTATATATATATATATACATAAATACACATATATATGTATATATATATATATATATATATATGTATATATATGTATATGTATATATATGTATATAT